TAGGCCTATAGGAGTGTGTTTAAACACGAAAGCAGTATATTTTTGTTGATTGATTATACCCCTTGATTTCTGTGTTCTCCCCTTCCCTTGTCCTTCTTCTTTCCCTTCCTCGTCGTCGTGACTTCTCCTCCTCCTTCTCCAGCAACGTCACACCAAACATTACAGCTGATATTCCGCAACAATTTAATGATCTAGTCAGCTCAACAGATTCGTTCGGTATTTTTTATTAGCGTCCTATTTTTAAGTGACCAGGGGAGGTGACTCACAGCTCGTATCGATAGACGCTTTGGTTGCCCGTGTCTCAGAGACCAATATACCAGGTTGGCTGGGACAACATTCGTGACTTCTACTCACTTTGTGTTATAAAAAAAACAAATAAAGTGAAACAAAAATTGTATTGCAATGTTTTACGTTTCAAAACATTGTGTATTTCTATTTTTTAGATTTCTTTGATGCACTGCTTAAAGAAAATTAAGGACCAATCGTTCAAAGTAATGAGTGAAAATTTGAAATAATTATCAACTCTCTGTTAACTGACTTGAACTGGCATCCAAAAAACCTGTGTGTACTCGACGAAAAGATAGACTACTCTTAATAACTCGAATTACAAAAGCCCAGAAGCACAGCTTTGAAGTGTATTGTAGGGTTGATTGTCAACAGGCAATGAAAGCCGAAGGTAATTTATTTGACATGTAAAGAAAAAGTTTGTCCATGTTCCTGTAACTGTAATATATGCTCAGAAAAATCCCATTCCTTCTTAAAAGTTCTTTTATAAGAAGTTGTTCTATTCATCAGTTCTAAATTAGAAATAGCCTTATTGTTACTATCTAGATCTAGATCTAGATCTAGATCTAGATCTAGATCTAGAATCTAGATCTATCATCGGCAGAAAAAATAATAGTAGCTCGTCTATCGACAGTAGATTTCTAGATCTAACGCCAAACCAAATGATGACTCGAGTTCTGAAAGTGTCACGATCCGGGCCGATGACCTCTCTCTCCTTCTTTATTTATCGAAGTGTATACAGACCCGGTAACCGGGAACAAAGTCACGAAGTATACAGACCCGGTAGGGGAACTCTTTTGTGATTTAGGAAAGTTTCAGCGCCCAGACCCGGTAGTGTGTTTGTGTGTGTGTGTGTGTCGTGTGTGTGTGTGAGAAAGAGAAAGAGAGAGAGAGAGAGAGAAGTGCTAGCAAAATGTATATATATGACATGCCCCAGTTGGCAGGAGGAACGAGAGAAAGATAGAAAGGGAAGGCGAGCGATACACAGAGGAGAGAGAGAGAGGCAGAGAAATAGAGAGGGTCACTGCTCGATTGAAATTATGCATTAAATTGTTCTTTTCTTCAAATAATGATTCCTCCAACTCCAAAACGGAGGGAAAACGATCGTTCATCGAAAAGACATCCGCAATCTTCACTTAGATCTAGATCTAGATCTAGGCTAGCCTCGAAACTAGATCAATGATTTATGTCAGTCTGTCTAGATATAGACCTAGGCCATAGATCTAGAAGAACCTAGGTCTTCCCTGAGCCAAGAGGGCGCTGAAACTTTCCGAAATCACAAAAGAGTTCCCCTACCGGGTCTGTATACTTTGTGACTTTGTTCCCGGTTACCGGGTCTGTAGGCTATACACTCCCTTATTTATAGTGCAGTCGTTTTGAGGAGCAGAAAATGGATCGAGTTGAGTTTCTAAAATTATGTAGAGTTCAGAAGAAAGATTCGACTAGCCTGGTCAGTGCATTTCTATAGGCCTATCCTACCATCAAATCAAAGCCTAGGCCTACTTAACTCTTTGTCTCCGAGGGGGGTAAACCCACTATGCTAGGCCTGTTTTTGGTACTAAATCTAAAAATGACAAAATCGTCACCCCAATTGGTCATTGAATCAAAACAAGTGAACCTATTTTGTAGTTTTCATCTTATGTATGAAATCCCGATAAAAGAGACCTGTTTTCGGCAACTGCTGAAAAGTAATTTGATGTCGAAGTCATTGTAAAGGAATGTGCCTGAGCCGCTGGCCAGCTAACTGGCACAATGGTTCTGACCGCGAGCTGCTGGGAGCCACTTGCCAGAGATAAAGAGTTATATTACTTTGCTTTGGACTTATGTGTTTGGCCACCTATACCTGGTGATAGCTCATGAACCGTTATTCTCACCCCCATCCCGGTCTGGGCTTGAGGTGAGGACTCCCTCCCTGACCTCTCGCAGGCCGATAAAATCAGCTAGGCACGAGGTAGTTTACTGCATGTGGTTGGGAAAGAACATGTAGGCCAATTACTGATTACCGTTGTCAAAACCTTAATTATTTTTAAAAAAATCAAATAGCCTTCTTGAAATTAGGCTAAAATTGTGGGGACCCGTAGGTATCAAATGCATGCTCCTGACATTTTGTTCTTGCATAACCATAGACTAGATCTAGTGTAGCTTGGGGTTTGGGGGGGGGGGGGAGGGGGGTTGTTTGTTATTGGGTTTTTTCACTGTTGTTTGCTGTTTATGGTGTGAAATGGCCTTCACCCAGCCCATTAAATAAACTGAATCTGAAACTTATCTCTTCAACTTCTTTGTTATTCTCTGTACCGTTCTGTGTGTGTCTCTGCTATAGGCGTACTGTATGTAGCACACCTGAGGGGGGTGAGGAGACACAGGCTATTACTCACTCCTGGTGAGAATATGGCCACTTCCTTAGTGTTTAATCCAAAGCACTGGGTTTTGTTGACCGCTCTTCTTAAACATTTCATCTGGCATGTGACCAGTTTCCTCTCTAGGGCTTTTGTTAGGAACCATGCCTGTCTCGAATGCAGGTGAAAACTAGGCATTCAACAATTATCAGAAAATCTTTTACATTAAAGTAAGTAGTCACTTAATTACTTTACTTTTACTTTTATCTTCCGCTTGTACCGGGGGGTTGTCGCGGGGAGACACAGGCGTCTGTCTGCAGCAAGGCGAGTGGCCTGCAGGAGGGACATCCCGTGGGCTCTGAGGGTGTCTGCCACAGATTCACTCCATCGTCGCCTTGGTCTTCCTCTGGCTCTCCATCCAGAATATTTAAAGTTGTATGCTCTCAGTGCTGGATGGTTTTAGGACATCCGCGTGAGGTGTCCGAACCACTTGACCTTTTGTTTTTCAATGTGTGGTAGGACTGGTGTTGCTCCTACGGTGTCCTTTATGACTTCATTTTTAATTTTGTCTCTTCTTGTTTTGTTGACCACTCTTCTTAAGCATTTCATCTGGCATGTGACCAGTTTCCTCTCTAGGGCTTTTGTTAGGAACCATGTCTAGCACTAAAATGTTAGCGTTGGAAGGAAAATGACGTTGATGAGCTTTGCCTTGGTGCTCATGGGGGTGTTGGGATGTTTCAGGAGAGGGCCAGTCACTATTGTCCATTTAAGAATTATTTGTAATGAAGAAATTCCAGCATATTCAGTCAAAATTTTAAATCCATTTGAGAGCCATATTATTTTACTGGGGAATACTTTATTTCTAAGTCGAAACTCATTTGCTTTATTTTTACACATTTTCTCCCGTGCCTCCATAATTAGTCTATATCCAATCCCCACTACCCACAATCCAAGTTTCACACTACCTTCCTTCTTTATTTTACTTTTGTAAAAAAGTGTTAAGTTGAGTAGCAAAAGTAATCATATTGTTTGGAATACTGGGATTTACCAGTAGAATTATTAGTGTAAGTTTCTGCAGTTCTTCACTAAAATTTGTACTTACATTTCAATAAGGATGAAGAATGGTTGTAAGCCTACACATGGCTTGTATTTGACTCATTTGGGTACGTCTTCAGATGGCCTCCAGAAGATCTCTGGACAGTGGCCGTGCTGAGTATGAGACAAGACTTCAAGAACTCTTTGAGGAAAGTGATGTGACTGACAAAGGCTACCTAGACAGAGAGGAAGTCAATGCTCTGTGTTCTAGACTGCAGTTGGGTAGACTAAAAGACAAAGTTGTGCAAGCCTTGCAAGGAAGAAGTGTAGACAAAAACAAGGTGAGTGTTTTATAAAAGAGAGGTCAGAATAAAGGTACCGAGTTATTTTTTCAATCATAAATTTTCTCTCCTTAAACCATATTGTACAATGTACCCCTCAGATTGCAAGTGCTCTCTTTTTTCTTCATTGTCACTTCTCTCCTTGCTCTATAATCCTCATAATGCAAACTACACTGATAGATAACAAAGTGTGTATTTCAATTTTGAACTTTGCCCAGGTGGCGACTGAAGTCTACTCTTATCAATTTTAGGACCACCATATTTTTAGGGATGTTTAGCATGCACAACTTTCACACAATACTTCCGAGATTTTTTCACCCTTACCTTAGAAGGCAAGGTGTTATATCATACCTTCCCTAAGATTAGGGGTATGGCTGAAAGGCAGCAGAAAGAAGGAACCAAGGAGTAGCACTGGAAAGGCAGCAGAAAGAATCAGGAACCCAGAGGAGAGGGGGGGGGGGGCTCGGAGGAGGGAGCAGAAAGTGGAGACGAAAGAGACGAGAAAACAGGATTAGAGAGCAGGAAAGGAGGTGAATGGAGAAAACTTCTGATAAGATTTTATGTCGCTGTCAGGTTTTGAACTCAGGACCTATTGAATTAGAGGTGAACACAGTAGGCCTATCTAAACCAAGAGAGCCCCCAGTGTATCTATGGTCTCATCATTGCAATGACCGTCATACTTGTGCTCCAAAGTCTAAGCTAAGAGCATTCTTACCACTGATGAATGCAGTACATGTATGTGTCTTTTAGCTAGCATGTGAGATTAAAAGCCTTGATATCTCCTTGCCCAGCAAAGTTTTGACAGCAGCTTCAGAAATGCAGCAAGCTGCTGTGTTTTTATAAGACTGTGAAGGGTGCAATGTTTCTCACTGGAGAAGAGTTGATGAGTTGAAAACTATTTTTTTAAGTTCTCTTTTTTTTCCACAAGAGCAAAAACAATTTGGCCTTTACTATTCACTTGCCTTTTATGGTAAAACCTTTGTAATTTTACCAAACAACCTTTCACTTTCACGAACTTTACTTCAGCAATAGTGAATTATTCAAATTTTTGTAGGGCTTGAGTACCACAGCTTGGACAACCTCGCTGTGTTCATTAAGTTTTATTATCTCTTAAACCTATTTCTTTTGCAAGTGAGCAGTTCTTAGAAACCCTCAGCCACGGATGATTGCTTCTTTTTCCCATCGATATGAATTCTACAGCTTATTTAGGGCTTAGCTTTCTAGTTTTGTTCCAACCTATATTTGCACTGTTCAAAAGGTTTCCCATATTATAGATTATGGAATTCGTGTTCGATAGAACGTACCCACCTCAGACTTTCCATAAAACAACAAAAGTTGGACCGAGAATAATATTATTATTTCTCTAATTATTAGTGAATCCTTCTCAGAACCTAAAATGAAGTTTTTTCTGGGATGAATGACATCCACCTAACTGATATTCAATTATCTTCTCCCTTTTGACTTGATACAAGCTTACAGAATGATTTGTCCTCCACATCTGAAATGCTCGACCTTGTTTAACTTTTTTCCCCACTCTTCCATGAAAATCTGCATTTTTCATCAAGAGTGAGAACAGGTTCAAAGGCACTTGAGTCTTAGGAACGTTTTATTATGCCTGCCGTAGGTGGTCTAGTGGTTTGTTTCTCAAACTCTCATCTGGTAGGTCATCAGTTTGAATTTTGGGCCAGGGACCCAACATTTCGTCCTGAGAAAGGCACTTCACCCGAGTGAGAATGAATACCCAGCTATAGAAAACAAAAGATTTTGTCAGTTTGTCAGTGTTTTAGTAGTGGGTGAAATCCACAGCTTCCACTGAATGCTTTCTGTGAAACTGAGAGTGTTTCCGAGTCGTGTTCTAGGGTGTGCTGAGATAATTAGTTATAAAGCTCATAGGGCTTGCTTCAGGGCTGGGATATCCGCTTCATACAGTGCAGCCTCTCTATAACGACCTTGATATAACGACATCCTCTGTATAGCAACATGGTGCCCAGGTCTCAATTTTTTTCCTTATATATTGTTAGTAATTTTTGGTTACGTCTTTATAACAACAACTCTCTATAACGACATTTTTTTCTTGTCCGGACAATGTCGCATTATAGAGAGGCCGCACTATAAATGCAATTATTATTAATATTATTATTATTATTATTATTATTAATATTATTATCATTATAATCATCCTATACCGTGTCATTAAATGGTAACGGCTTTGGACTCGGATAAGATCAATCACATTGTGGCTTCACTCAATCCTTCTCGGCAGTGTCTCTCTGGTTGGTTGTGATGAATGGAAGCCTTTTATGTTTATACAAAACAAAGATGTAAATTTATCATAAGACAAAATTCTAAGTCAAAATCACACTAAGGGGGAAAAAAGTGGGACTTGTACCCATAAATGTGTCTCACACACTATTCTGTAGACTTATCTGAATTCAACGAAATTAGTAAGTTCGAAGAATAAAGGCTTGAAGGTGTAGGTAGACTTTATTTTTTTGCATCTCCTTCTTTCCATTTATTGTTTACAATATTTTTTTGGAAAGATGTAATGTGTATTGAAGCCTAAAATGTTCACTTGCTCAAATAATTTTCAGATGCAAACACATCACAGATGTTCTCTTGTTATGAGTTCTGGTTTGGTTTTAGTGAAAGATAAGAAATGGTAAAACTGAGACTGCAGAAATAACAACTGATATGAGATGAAAGGACATACTTGTGGCAACCTTTATGAGAATGGTGTTACGTGATAGTTACTAAGAATACTGTCACAGATTATATATTTTGACGAAAGTTTGTCTACTTTTTTTACTTTTTTCCTCTCTGTCTCCTCCCACCCCCTCTCACTCTCACACACATTCTCTCTATCGCTCTTGTCTCTCTGTTTCTTAGTCTGTCTGTCTCTCAGTCTCTCTCTCTCTCTCTCTCTCTCTCATTCTCTCATTCTCTCTCTCTCTCTCTCTCATTCTTTCACTCTCTCTCTCTCTCT